CTGACCGACTGACCGACTGACCCGTGGTGACCCCAGCCAGGAGGTACACGTGAATGATGGAGGTGCTGAACGACTGACTCACTGACTAACTGACTGACTCACTGACTGACTCACTGACTAACTCACTGACTGACTCACTGACTGACTCACTGACTCACTGACTGACCGACTGACCGACTGACCCGTGGTGACCCCAGCCAGGAGGTACACGTGAATGATGGAGGTGCTGAACGAGTGATTCACTCACTAACTCACTGACTCACTAACTCACTGACTGACCGACTGACCGACTGACCGACTGACTCACTGACTGACTCACTGACTGACTCACTGACTGACTCACTGACTGACTCACTGACTGACCGACTGACTGACTCACTGACTGACCCACTGACTCACTGACTGACTCACTGACTGACCGACTGACCGACTGACCCGTGGTGACCCCAGCCAGGAGGTACACGTGACTGATGGAGGTGCTGAACGAGTGACTCACTGACTGACTCACTGACTGACTGACTGACCGACTGACCGACTGACCGACTGACCCGTGGTGACCCCAGCCAGGAGGTACACGTGAATGATGGAGGTGCTGAATGAGTGACTAACTCACTGACTGACCGACCCACTAACTCACTGACTCACTAACTCACTGACTGACCGACTGACCGACTGACCCACTGACCCGTGGTGACCCCAGCCAGGAGGTACACGTGAATGATGGAGGTGCTGAACGAGTGACTCACTGACTGACTCACTGACTGACCGACTGACCGACTGACCGACTGACCCGTGTTGACCCCAGCCAGGAGGTACACGTGAATGATGGAGGTGCTGAACGAGTGACTCACTGACTGACCGACTGACCGACTGACTGACCGACTGACCAACTGACCGACTGACCCGTGGTGACCCCAGCCAGGAGGTACACGTGAATGATGGAGGTGCTGAACGAGTGACTCACTGACTCACTGACTGACTCACTGACTGACTCACTGACTGACCCACTAACTCACTAACTCACTGACTGACCCACTGACTGACTGACTGACCGACTGACCGACTGACCCGTGGTGACCCCAGCCAGGAGGTACACGTGAATGATGGAGGTGCTGAACGAGTGACTCACCGACTGACCCACTCATTGACTCACTGACTGACTCACTGACTGACTCACTGACTGACTCACTGACTGACTGACTCACTGACTGGCTCACTAACTCACTGACTGACCGACTGACCGACTGACCCGTGGTGACCCCAGCCAGGAGGTACACGTGACTGATGGAGGTGCTGAACGAGTGACTCACTGACTGACCGACTGACCGACTGACCGACTGACCCGTGGTGACCCCAGCCAGGAGGTACACGTGAATGATGGAGGTGCTGAACGAGTGACTCACTGACTGACTGACACACTGACTGACTCACTGACTGACTCACTGACCGACTCACTGACCGACTGACTGACTCACTAACTCACTGACTGACTGACTGACTGACCGACTGACCGACTGACCCGTGGTGACCCCAGCCAGGAGGTACACGTGAATGATGGAGGTGCTGAACGAGTGACTCACTGACTCACTGACTCACTGACCGACTCACTGACCCACTAACTCACTAACTCACTGACTGACTGACCGACTGACTGACCGACTGACCGACTGACCGACTGACCCGTGGTGACCCCAGCCAGGAGGTACACGTGAATGATGGAGGTGCTGAACGACTGACTCACTGACTCACTGACTCACTGACCGACTGACTGACCCACTAACTCACTAACTCACTGACTGACTGACTGACTGACCGACTGACCGACTGACCGACTGACCCGTGGTGACCCCAGCCAGGAGGTACACGTGAATGATGGAGGTGCTGAACGACTGACTCACTGACTCACTGACTCACTGACCGACTGACTGACCCACTAACTCACTAACTCACTGACTGACTGACTGACTGACCGACTGACCGACTGACCGACTGACCCGTGGTGACCCCAGCCAGGAGGTACACGTGAATGATGGAGGTGCTGAACGACTGACTCACTGACTGACCGACTGACCGACTGACCCGTGGTGACCCCAGCCAGGAGGTACACGTGAATGATGGAGGTGCTGAACGAGTGACTCACTGACTGACCGACTGACCGACTGACCGACTCACTGACTCACTGACTGACTGACTGACTCACTAACTCACTGACTGACCGACTGACCGACTGACCGACTGACCCGTGGTGACCCCAGCCAGGAGGTACACGTGAATGATGGAGGTGCTGAACGAGTGACTCACTGACTGACCGACTGACCGACTGACCGACTGACCCGTGGTGACCCCAGCCAGGAGGTACACGTGAATGATGGAGGTGCTGAACGAGTGACTCACTGACTCACTGACTGACCGACTGACCGACTGACTCACTGACTGACCGACTGACCCACTGACCCGTGGTGACCCCAGCCAGGAGGTACACGTGAATGATGGAGGTGCTGAACGAGTGACTCACTGACTCACTGACCGACTGACCGACTGACCCGTGGTGACCCCAGCCAGGAGGTACACGTGAATGATGGAGGTGCTGAACGAGTGACTCACTGACTGACCGACTGACTGACTCACTGACTGACTGACCGACTGACCGACTGACCGACTGACCCGTGGTGACCCCAGCCAGGAGGTACACGTGACTGATGGAGGTGCTGAACGAGTGACTGACTGACTGACTGACACACTGACTGACTCACTAACTGACTCACTGACTGACTCACTGACCGACTCACTGACCGACTGACTGACCCACTAACTCACTGACTGACCGACTGACCGACTGACCGACTGACCCGTGGTGACCCCAGCCAGGAGGTACACGTGAATGATGGAGGTGCTGAACGAGTGACTCACTGACTGACCGACTGACTGACCGACTGACCGACTGACCGACTGACCCGTGGTGACCCCAGCCAGGAGGTACACGTGAATGATGGAGGTGCTGAACGACTGACTCACTGACTGACTCACTGACTGACTCACTGACTGACTCACTGACCGACTGACTGACCGACTGACCGACTGACCGACTGACCCGTGGTGACCCCAGCCAGGAGGTACACGTGAATGATGGAGGTGCTGAACGAGTGACTCACTGACTGACTGACCCACTGACTCACTAACTCACTGACTGACTCACTGACTAACTCACTGACCGACTGACTCACTCACTGACTCACTGACTAACTCACTGACTGACCGACTGACCGACTGACCGACTGACCCGTGGTGACCCCAGCCAGGAGGTACACGTGAATGATGGAGGTGCTGAACGAGTGACTCACTGACTGACCCACTGACCGACTGACCCGTGGTGACCCCAGCCAGGAGGTACACGTGAATGATGGAGGTGCTGAACGAGTGACCCACTCACTGACTGACTGACTCACTGACTGACTCACTGACTGACCGACTGACTGACTCACTGACCGACTGACCGACTGACCGACTGACCCGTGGTGACCCCAGCCAGGAGGTACACGTGAATGATGGAGGTGCTGAACGAGTGACTCACTCACTGACTGACTCACCGACTGACTGACTCACTGACTGACCGACTGACTCACTGACTGACTCACTGACTGACTCACTGACTGACCGACTGACTGACTGACCAACTGACCGACTGACCGACTGACCCGTGGTGACCCCAGCCAGGAGGTACACGTGAATGATGGAGGTGCTGAACGAGTGACTCACTCACTGACTGACCCACTGACTCACTAACTCACTGACTGACTCACTGACTAACTCACTGACCGACTGACTCACTCACTGACTCACTGACTAACTCACTGACTGACCGACTGACCGACTGACCGACTGACCCGTGGTGACCCCAGCCAGGAGGTACACGTGAATGATGGAGGTGCTGAACGAGTGACTCACTGACTGACCCACTGACCGACTGACCCGTGGTGACCCCAGCCAGGAGGTACACGTGAATGATGGAGGTGCTGAACGAGTGACCCACTCACTGACTGACTGACTCACTGACTGACTCACTGACTGACCGACTGACTGACTCACTGACCGACTGACCGACTGACCGACTGACCCGTGGTGACCCCAGCCAGGAGGTACACGTGAATGATGGAGGTGCTGAACGAGTGACTCACTCACTGACTGACTCACCGACTGACTGACTCACTGACTGACCGACTGACTCACTGACTGACTCACTGACTGACTCACTGACTGACCGACTGACTGACTGACTGACCGACTGACCGACTGACCGACTGACCCGTGGTGACCCCAGCCAGGAGGTACACGTGAATGATGGAGGTGCTGAACGAGTGACTCACTGACTGACTCACTGACTCACTGACCGACTGACTGACTGACTGACCGACTGACCGACAGACCGACTGACCCGTGGTGACCCCAGCCAGGAGGTACACGTGAATGATGGAGGTGCTGAACGAGTGACTCACTGACTGACCGACTGACTCACTGACCGACTGACTGACTCACTGACTCACTGACTGACCGACTGACCGACTGACCGACTGACCCGTGGTGACCCCAGCCAGGAGGTACACGTGAATGATGGAGGTGCTGAACGAGTGACTCACTGACTGACTGACTCACTGACTGACTCACTGACTGACTCACTGACTGACTGACTGACCGACTGACCGACTGACCGACTGACCCGTGGTGACCCCAGCCAGGAGGTACACGTGAATGATGGAGGTGCTGAACGAGTGACTCACTGACTGACCGACTGACTCACTGACCGACTGACTGACTCACTGACTCACTGACTGACCGACTGACCGACTGACCGACTGACCCGTGGTGACCCCAGCCAGGAGGTACACGTGAATGATGGAGGTGCTGAACGAGTGACCCACTCACTGACTGACTGACTCACTGACTGACTCACTGACTGACTCACTGACTGACTGACTGACCGACTGACCGACTGACCGACTGAC